TCCTGTGGGTACCAGCCCCCTCATGACTGAGCAGGGCAGGGACTCCTGGGAGGTGTGGTGGGGTTCCAGTGAAGAGAGGCGAGGACCCCAGGTTACTTGGAGACTAGACCAGACACACAGGTACAAACCTGCCTCCAGCAGCTTCGACAACAGGAAGTGATTGGCTCCCAGGACCCAGAAGTCCAGGGCCACTTTAGGTTTAGGGAGTTGGTCCATGCCAGCTGTCTGCCCTGTTCTCCCTACCTGGCAGGGTCAGGGGGTAGTCTCAATGTCCAGGCAGGAGACTGCAGCAAGGACAGAGACAGCCTGACATGGGTCCAGTTCAGCCTCCCAGGACACCCCTGCCAGCCTAGGTCTCTAGGGCAGCCGGGCACAGGCCACAGACACAGCAAACCTCGCGGCATTGTGAGGAGGAGATGACTGCTCTGGGTAAAGACAGGGAAAGGGGTCAGCGTGCCGGGGCAGGGCAGGGGCAGGCAGGCCTGACAGGGTGACGCCGAAGCCAAGCCCTGTAAGTGAGGGAATGAGTCAGAGGGGAGTGGGGACAGTATAGTGGAGTTGGGGGATGGGAACCACCCCCAGGGATCAAGGGCAGAAAGCAGGTGGCACCCTCTCCGGAGCCCAGTCACCTCTAGAATCCTTGCTCTGGTTCTCACTGGCTGCAGCACGAGCCCGAGGGTAGTGACCCCCGCCCTTACCACTGGCTCAAGGCCTCATGGAGGATAAGGCCAAGCAGGTTGAAGACAGGCACGAGGGCGAGGCGGGAACACCTTCCACCTTTTGTCCTGCCCACACCCTGGTCACTGTGCCTACCCAGACTTGGCACTGGTGCTAGACTCAGGGAACCCCAGAAGCTCATGGTCCAGCCTAGGGAGGAACTCGTGTGGTAGTCAGTGAGTTACAGTGGTGAAGGGGTGGCAGCTGGAGTCTGGGCTGGACTTCTGACCTGGTGGGAGCCCCGATGCCCTATGCACCCTCAGCACCGGAGCCTCACTGTGCTCAAACCAGGGAGAAAGTGTAGGGTGCAGGGAACCAGCTTTTTCATTTCTTCCTTGCGCGTCTATACCCAGTGTAGCCTGGACCTTACACACCCTATTGTATTGACCTAAGGCCCATTTTGAAAGGAAACGGAGGCTCAAGGAGGCGAAGAGGCCTCTGCAGGGACACAGTTGGTGCGCCCCAGCTCTGCTGTGTTCTACAAGCGTGGCCTCCCTTGGCGGGGGCCTGCAGGGTAGGCAGCCTCAGGCGTGTCGGGTGGTGGTTAGCGTACCAGCAGAGCCTCAGGGTAGGCGAGACCCTGGCGTGAGTGCAGAACACGGGCCTCTGATTTTTCTGTCCCTCTAATATGGGCTCTCCGGATGTGGCTGGCTTTCCCTGCCACCAGGTACAGCCTGGGAAATGGCGGGGGGGGGCACAGGCATGCTGGAGGTTTTACTTTTCTGGTTTTGGGTGGGCTTTAGTAAAGTATGTACGACGTGGAAGCGTGCAGTCTTCACCAGCATGTTTAGTTCTGCAATTTGGAAATGGTACGACCAGCGCCATTTCTCCCCAACTTTTCATCGCCCCAGACAGAAGCTTTGCGCCCACTAAGCACTAGCTCCTCATTCCCCCCTACCCCAACCTGCAGTCCTCTAATGCACTTCCAGGCTTCACAGACTCGCCCAGTGTAGGTAGTGCATTTAAGTGGAATCCTTCCATATTAGTCCCTTTGTGATCAGGTTTTTTTAGCACACTAAGTTTTCTTTTTTTTTTGGAGAGGTTTTCGCTATAGTGCGTGTGCGCTCGCCAGAAAGACAGAGAGAGACATAGAGACAGAAAGTGAGAAATCACTCCCCGGGGGGATAGCCATGCCACAATCCCTTCTCCTCCATTCTCCTCTTGGGATCTTGGGCACACATGCATACGCGCCCAGCGTGAGTTTAAGCCACCAGGCCCAGGACTTGAACCACGGTCGACTACATGGGAGTCCAGCGACATAGCCATTACGCTATGTACCCAGCATGATTTTTAAGCCACCAGATCCAGGACTCGAACCACGTTTGGCCACGTGGAAGTCCAGCACCTTAATCACTACGCCGCCTGCTGGCCCCTGGTTCATCTACGTGGTAACAGCCACACTTCATTCCTTCTCTGGCTGCCTAGTAGTCCATTGTATGGCTAGACCACCATTTATTTGTCAAGGTTTTGCCAAATGTAGACCTTGTTAATTGTCCCCAGTATTTTCAAATCTGCATATTTACATAATGGTGCCGATTTCTCCTCGCTTCTAAAAACTTGGAATACATGGGTCTGGGCTTCTGCTTGCCTCCCTGGCATTATTTGCCCGGCCACTTCTTGTACAAGGCTGGGGTAGCATCTGAGTGCAAGGAGGCTGGCCACCAGGGGCCAGTGACATGAGTATATATCAGAGGCCAAGGTGGTGGCAGCTGGAGTCTGGGCCCCCATGCAGGCTTCTGACCTGGTAGGGGCCCTGGGAGTGCTCTGTGCATTCTCTATGGCCCCTTAGCTGCTCCCTGCTCACACCCAGGAGCATGTGGGATCTGGGAAACTGGGTCCAGAAGCCGGGTGCTCCCTCTGGCCCTGGCCCCCTGAAAGATATGGCACTGTGGTTGGCCTTGGGCCTGATGCCCCTGGGGAGCACAGTGACTGTTGGCTCCCCATGTGCCAGGCATGAAACCTCGAGTGTACTCGCTCCTTCCCAGACGAAGAATTAAGGTCCTCCAAGGTCAAGCTAGTGGCCTGGGGTGGATGGTGCTGGGTGTCCCCAGCCTGCCCGCTCCCACAAGGCAGGCTGAGAACAGACTTTCTCAGCACTCATGGGAGGATCAGCCCATATGGGGGTATCCAGCAGAGCTCTAGACACCAGGTTGGGGGCTTCCTCAATGACTGGGGCTCCCCAGTAGGGGTGGGCAGCTCTCGGGAGGACCCTGGGCCTTCCGTTGGAGGAGGAACGAAGTATCCCTAGGAGGGCCAGGCTGCACGCCGGGGTGGGACCGTGAGTACCTCCAACCTGAGGCTGACAGAGGGCCCCAGAGAGGCCTGGAGTCTGAGGTCCAGCAGGGCTAGGCTGGGGGGTGGGCCAGGAGGCTGCAGAGGTCGAGAAGCTGAGCATACTCGGGACAGAAATCTGGACTCCTTCAGCGGGCAGTGTGTCACAGGAAGGTTCTGGAGCAGGGAGGCCATGATTAGACTGGTGCTATAAAAGGGTGGGGCAGAGACAGGGTATGACTGAGGGGCCTGGGCTTCCAGAGAGGGCCTTGGGGGAAGAGGGAGTGGGTGTGGTTTTGCACCTTGGCAGGGAGTTGACATCCTGTATAGATCCTTCACTTTCCCGGCTGTCCATGAGGTGATGGGCATCGAACCTCCCAGAAGATCTGGTGCCTCCGATGCTTCCTAGCCTGGGGGAGGGTCAGCGTGCAGTAGGTGCTCAATAAATACTGCCGGGTAATTTGTTTATTCCACAAGTGTCCCAACTGGTCTCTGGAGAGACTGCCAGAAGAAAACCAGACCCATCTGTGAGGGGGAACCGGCAAAGTCCCAGAGGTAGCAGGGTGCAGGCCTGGGGAGTCTGGGGTGTCCTCTGAGTGAGGGGGCGCTACGGGCTGGCATGGAGCAGAGCCTGGAGCTGCCAGCCCTACAGGGTGCAGGGAGCAGTGGAGTCTGGCTGCCAGGAGGACAGCGAAGATGTGCGCAGCCTGGCCCTGGGGACCTGCGGAGGCCAAGGGGGAGGGGTGCCACTGCACCGCGGCCTTTACCATCCCCCCTTCGCCCCCCTTCGCCCTCTTCGCGGAGGGCCCGGGCTGCTTGATGGGCAGCTTGGTCCCGCCTCCTGGCAGCCGCGATGCCCGTGATTGGTTGGGGCGTTAGAGCCGCTCGGTCGCCATGGGGACGCTCTGGAGGCGCGCGTGCCCAATGCCCAGCACCAGGGACTAAATCTTCATAATCTGCCTGCTGGGAGGGTGGGGGTGGGGTCCTGCGCGACCCTGGTCTGGGGGAAGGGGCGGCCGGGGATGCCGTCAGGGCGCACCGTGGCCTTCCCTCCACTGCCCTCGCTGGTGCAAGAGCAGCACCGCCAGGGCACTTGGGCGACACCGGCCACCATGCGGGTGGTCACCTGGCAGTGACCCTGGGGGTTCCAGAGTGGCTTCGGCCTCTGTGGTTTCAGCCGATCCAGCGGGGCTGTCGGGAGAGAGGCGTGGACTCTCCCTGTGTCCCGTCTTGTAGTTGAAGTTTCAGTTTCTCTCCCAGACCTGGTGGGCAATGCGCGCTCTCCGCAGCAGGGGGCGACCTCCGCAACGCTTTGTTGGCTCTGTCCACCCCCAGGAAGAGGGAACGGCCCACTGAGGCACAGGGGATGAGGACCCTAACCCTGCAGCCCTGGCTCAGGATCTCCAGGGCCTGGGTCCCGCGGCAGAGGGCAGATGGTGCGTGTGTGTTGGGGGGGGTGGTGCACTTTGCTTCTACATCAACCGCCAGGACTGGGCTGGGCCTGGCTGCAGGAGGTGGTGGGGTGACTGGCGCCCCGAGGAGCCATCTCTCCCCGCTCAGGTAGAGGAAGGAATAACAGTAAAGCCTGCTGTTGGGGAGCAGGGGGCTGAGGGACAAGGCCTTGCCCAGCTGGGGAGTAGGGAGGACCTGGCCAGGCCCCAAGCAACCTCAGGGTGTTCAGGGACCCTGGCAGGCCACTCACTCCCAGACCCTTGCTGCTGAGCCTCACTAGGATTTGGCATAAAGGAGGAAGCTCTGTGCCCCCCACAGCCACTCCACCCCTGACAGCCCCCCTGCTGGCAGAGGGACCCTGTAACTGCCTGGGTCCCCATGGGGAAGGGCAAGGCTGGTCTCAGTGCAGCCAGGTGTGGGTAGCGGCGTCACCACTTCCCCAGGGACGCCCATGAGGATGGCAGAGGGCAGGAACTCAGAGGTGCTGGGACCCTGACACCTGGGGGCCTGGGGGCCGGTGGGTGCTGGGGTGGGGCTCACACCCAGGCCTGTTGTTGCAGACGACTCCTCCTCTGAGAGTGGCAGTGGCAATGGCTCCTCCACCCTGAACCCCTCCACGTCGAGCAGCACACAGGGCGACCCCGCCTTTCCCGAGATGAACGGCAACGGCACTGTCGCCCCCATGGACTTCACCGCCGCCGCCGAGGACCAGCCCATCAACCTGTGCGACAAGCTCCCGCCGGGCCCGGCGCTCGGCACCCCCTCCTACCCCTCGGATAGCTGCAGCACAGACGGGCTGCGGAGCCGTGTCAAGTATGGGGTGAAGACCACCCCCGAGGTGTGTAGGCTGCGGGCTGCGGCTGCATCTCAGGGGCAGCGGGGGTTAGGAGACTGGACCGACATGGCGGGGGGCTGGATTTTAGCCGGGGCCAGGCCCTGTCAGGGTGGGCTCTGGAATGGGAGGTTGCTGAGGCCCCCATTTCTCTGAGCCTGGTTCCCTGCCTCTGAAGTGGGGCTGATGGCCCCTGCCATGGCGGTGGTGGTAGGTGATGTGCCTCTCTGGGCCCCGTCCTGCACAGGGAGGCACGCAGTCTCACGTTTCCGGATTGCTCTGTGTATTAACCCCATTGTACGTGTGACACAGAGGAAGGGCGAGGCCCCGGCGATGTGGGTGAGACAGGCTGGGGGGGGGCCCGTTGGAGCCCACCTTCACATTCCTATAAGCTGCCATGCCCACTGAGGTCCGCAGCGGAGCAGACCAGCACCAGGCGGGCACGAGCTCTCCTGGAGCCATTTCTCCAGCCTGGCCTCAGCCACGTGCCCTGGACAGGCTCTTTGTCTTTCTTGGGCTTGTGTCCCACTACAGACGGACCTGGGGAGGTGCCGGTGCTTGCCTGAGTTGGAGGGTCTCACAGGAAGGTTCTGTACAGGGTTGGCTTAGGTGGTCGCTGCATGTCACACCCAGGGACGCCCAGCTGGGGGCAGGTACCAGTCAGGGCTCTCTGACTGTTCCATGAGGAGGCGAGTTTTGCTCAGCGGGGCTCTGTAGCCTTTGCCACCATGGCTACAGGTTATGTGGGTGGCCAAGGAAATGAGAAGGGAGCACATGTGCCACCAACAGCTCCTACCTGACAGTCTCCACCGTCGCTGCTCTGACTCCGGCAGAGGGTTTGGCCCTGAGCCGCTTGGATATGTGACTTGCACAGGGCTATGCGACCGGCTGGTGGCCAGCACTTGACCTAGGAGGCCTTCTGATTCCTGACTGAGTCTGGAGGACAAGGGTGCCTGCCCCTTTTCAAGTCTGTGCGGATGAAAAGATGGGTACTAGGCCGATGCGCCAGGGCCTGGTCAGAGGGACAGGCCTGATGAGGCAGTGCTAGGGGACCAGGATGCCACACTGCTGTCTGTCGGTGCCATGATTCTCTGCAGGCTGTGCCATGGCCACCTCACAGGGTCTGGTCATGCAGCTGTTTGTCCTCTGGGCCAGGTGCCGATCTCTTTGAGTATAGGAATACGTCCCCGGGATACTGCCAGTCAGGATGCACCAAAGACACAAACTTTGTAAAAGGCAAATAAATGACAGCAGTCCCCAGCCACCATGGCAAAGCAGTGGCCTGAGGACGGGGCAGAGATGGGTGGTGTGGGTGCCAGGCCCGAAGGGTTAGGGTGGGGAGGCAGGGAGGAGAGACGGGGCTGTCAAGGAGTTGCTGGAGGGAGGCAGTGGGGGCTGGAGCCCTTCCCGCTGTGGGCCAGTGACACTCCGCAGGCCCGGTTGTCGCTCTCCCCTGTCCACACACACATGCTCACTGGGCCCACAGGTCCCGAGTGGCTGGGGGCAGGAGAAGGCCAGCCCAGGCGTGGAACGTGCTCTGCCGAATGGACCTGTCGCTTGGGCTGGCTCTTTCTCCTAGCCCATCTGTTCCCCCTCTCCGACAGACAGCACACTTGCTGCTTTGGTGACAGCTCGGTTGTCAGCTCAGGGTTGCAACCCCTTAGGGAGCAGGGAGGAATACCCTGGAGCCAAAACATCTTGGCACAAGGGGAGGCTGGCTGGTGGCGGGCTCCTTCTTGTGTCTGCCTCTCCTCACTCAGTGTGGCAGGCCTTGATGCGCCCGCCCTCCCTGGCCCCGCCAGGGCCCTGCATGCGCTGTCCTGGTCAACCCAGGGAGGGAGGACAGCGCTGCTGTCCCCATTTCATGGATGCGGGGAACAGGAAGAGAGGGTGACTTTCTCAGGGCCTTGCCGCTGTGACTCACATGGCAGCTGGTGTACTTGCCACCCGGGTCCCCAAGCTCACTGCCAGGAGATCAGCAAAGCCACGTACAGTGCCTGGTCCGACCCTTGCCCCTGCCCTCTCTGCAGTCCCCCCCCTACAGCTCTGGCAGCTACGATTCTATCAAGACTGAGGTCAGTGGCTGCCCTGAGGACCTGACGGTGGGCCGGGCCCCCACAGCGGATGATGACGACGACGACCATGATGACCATGAGGACAATGACAAGATGAATGACTCCGAGGGCATGGACCCTGAGCGTCTCAAGGCCTTCAACGTGAGCACACCGCGAGGCCGGGACGAGGCTGGGGTGGGGTGGTGGCCAGGGCCAGCCCTTCCCATGCCCGTGTCTCCTACAGATGTTCGTGCGTCTCTTTGTGGATGAGAATCTGGACCGCATGGTGCCCATCTCCAAGCAGCCCAAGGAGAAGATCCAGGCCATCATCGAGTCCTGCAGCCGGCAGTTCCCCGAATTCCAGGAGCGAGCCCGCAAGCGCATCCGCACGTACCTCAAGTCCTGCCGCCGCATGAAGAAGAACGGCATGGAAATGGTGAGCCTCTCCTGCCCGCCCCGCCCTCGGCACCACCGCCCATCTCCAGCCGTCTTGCCTGGACTCCTGGGTGTCCCCCGCCACTCAGCCATAATCCTCCCAGTGGTCCTAAAAGCAGGCACAGGAACCAGCAGTTGGCGTAATGGCTGTGTCGCTGGACTCCCACATAGTCGACTGCGGTTCACGTCCCGGACCCGGTGGCTTAAAACTCACGCCGTGTGCATGTGTGCCCAAGATCCCGAGAAGAGAATGGAGGAGAAGGGATTGCGGCGTGACCATCTCCTCTGGGGGGTGATTTCTCGCTTTCTGTCTCTCTGTCTCTCTCTGTCTGGCGAGCACAGGCGCCCTATAGCGAAAACCTCTCAAAACGTAACCCCAAATGAGGGAATTGAGGCCCAGAAGGGTTGTAACTGCTGCCCTATGGATTAAGGCGCGGAGCCCAACCCCAGCTCTGCACTGCCCACCTCCGGACCAGGGTCTCCATGCAGGTCCGATGCCCGCCCCCACACCCATCGCTCGTCCCATCCCCGCTCTGCCTACAGACCAGACCCACGCCTCCCCACCTGACCTCGGCCATGGCTGAGAACATCCTGGCCGCTGCCTGTGAGAGCGAGACGAGGAAAGCGGCCAAAAGGATGCGCCTGGAGATCTACCAGTCCTCACAGGTACTGCCTCCTGCCCGCTGCTTCCGGCACGGTCACCGTCCCCACACAGACACAGGGGCCAGAGGGGAACGGAGAGGAGCTGGTGAGGGGAAGAGGTGGGAGGGGAAGGTCAGAGGACTTGGTCACTGGGGCCTGTAGACCCTGTAACCAGTCAGGCCTTTATCCCAAAAGGCTCTGAGAGGTCTTGAGCTGGACAGAAAGAGGTAAGAAGATGGGACCGGCAGGTGGCGTGGTAGTTAAGGGTGCTGAACTCCCACATGACCGACAGCGGTTCGATTCCCAGGCCTGGTGGCTTGCTTTCTCACTTTCCCTCTCTCACTCTGGTCAAATTAAAATAAATAAAGTTAAATAAAATAAAGAAAAGAAAGAAAGAGGTGAGTAGAGAGGGGGCAGACCCCTGGGGCCAGGTGACAGGGAAGAGGGAACAGCCAGAATCGCACAGGTCAGGCTGTGGCAGTGGGCCTGGGCACCCTGGTGCTGCAGCTAGCTGCCCCTCAGGTTCCCCAGCGCCACTCTCTACCCTCTGCAGGACGAGCCCATAGCCCTGGACAAGCAGCACTCCCGGGACTCCGCAGCCATCACCCACTCCACCTACTCACTGCCAGCCTCCTCCTACTCCCAGGACCCTGTGTACGTCAACGGTGGCCTCAACTACAGTTACCGCGGCTACGGGTCCTTGAGCAGCAACCTGCAGCCCCCCGCCTCCCTCCAAACAGGAAATCACAGTAACGGTGAGTTGGGGTCGGGCTCTGGCTCCGGCCAGCACCCAGTGCATCTACACAGTGGCCTTGCACGTGCAGGGAGCTCAGAGGAAGCTCCTGGGGTCATCCCTGTGCCACGATCTAGCTGGTCCTTAGCGTGAAGTCCGGTGGAAACAAGAGCCCGTGGCTCTGTACCTCGGCGAGGCTCACTGCACCACTCCCGGGTCCTGCCCCCTCAGACCTCTGTGAGCACCAGGTTCCAGCCAGGGCCCTGTTCTTTATGGATGCCAGGTCTCACACCCCCATTTCGCCCATCACGACAGCTCAGTGAGATGGGTGCTGGCCCATGGTCACGCTGAGTTGGTGGCAGAGCCAGGCTGGTCCCAGTTCAGCCAAGTGGCCCTGGGCAGGCGACCTTCCTCTCCAGGCTCATGGGCTGGCTCGTGAGGGGAGCGGTGCCTTTGCTCCGGTGCTGGGCAGTCCTCACGGCTGCGCTCGCAGAACCCACAGCGCCCCCCCAGCCAGTGGTCGAACATCCATTCCCTCAGTGCAGTCTGTATGCTGGGATTTGGTCGGTGCTTCGCCGGCAACTTCTGTGGATGGGGCACATTACCCCTGAACAGGAACTGGAGTGGGGGACCCTGGCCCATTTACACGGAGGCCAGAGCGTAGCGGCACAACTCGGACCCGGCATGTGGATCTGTCGTGTGTGTTGGGGAACCACTGACAGGGTTTTGTGCTCCAGGGTGGTTCAGAGGCCAAGGAATGAGGGGCGTGTTGAGGACACCAAGGGCTGTCAAGGGGTGGGCTGCAGGGCGACACTCCCCGCCAGCTGGGGACTGGCTCCTGGCCAAGCACACCTGAGAATTCCTCGAGCCTTGTCTTTGACTGCAGGAGACCCCTCACTGCTCTTGGGCAGCAGGGGGGGGACCTATCCCTTCCCATGGCTAAAATCCCTGGCTGCCTGCACTGGTCTGGCCCACACCCTCCCCAAGCCCTTGCCCAAAGCCAGCCCCTGCCCCCATACTCACCACGCCCCCCCAGGACCAGGAAGTATGTGGAGGCCCCTGGAAGATTGCTGCCCGGGCTTAACTTCTCATCCCTTCCTAATGCCTCTTAACCCAAAATAAGAGGCCGCCTGGCCCTAATCCCTGCAGCTAAGGCCTCACAGCCAGCACAGCGAGGCAGAGTGGCTGCCCCAGGCAGGCTGCTCCCCTTCTAGAAGGAAGAGCCATCTGACAGCCCTGTGAGGGCCTCTGACAGGGTCTGCAGCCAAGGTCTCAGGGCCAGGAGTAGAACCCTCTTTCCCGATTACACGTGGGGAGCCTGAGCCCTCCCAGATGGCAGGCAATGGTTTCAGGCCACCCGGTGTCACCTGGCATGACCTGTCTCAGGGCTGTAGCCACCTAGTCTCTCCCCAGGTCTCTCGTTTGAAGGTGCTGGGCCTGCCACCATCTCTGCCCCGTTCATGCCTGTCAGAAACATGAACGGCAGCCACCTCTCCCCCGACACCCTGAGTGTCCTGGCTCCTCACAGGTGGGTGGGGAGGTCAGTGGGGCAGAGATCTGGCATGTACCTCCTTGCCTGGCACAGGCCCTGTCTGCACACACTGGTAGCTCGTTTAAAGAACGCTGTGGAAATCTGGGTTCAGGTCCGGCAGCCGGAGGGTGACAGGCGTCCGTGTGCTGCTGTGTGCTCTCACTGCCCTCCCCAGCCGCGCCCGGAGGTGCTTGTTCAATCAGTGGTACCTCGGCCAGGCCGCCGTATTAATGGCTCAGAGCTCCTCACTTTGCTCATTACGTTGTCATCTGGAGATGCAAATCAGCTTAGATAGAATCAGGCTCTGCCTGTCTTGCCTGGGGTGCTGGGCAACTCCTGCCACTCCTACCCCTCCACTGGCAATCACCTGGCAACCTGAGTGCCTGGCTGTAACCAGAGCCTGCAGGGAGATGTCTCCAGATCAGATTGTCTACAGGACGCAGAGACCTTCTCCTTTCCAGGCTTAGCTGGAGCCTGAGAGGGGGGAAGGAAAGCTCTGAGCATAGCGGCAAACAAGGTGAGGCCTGGGGATGGAGAAAGGGAGGGACACCCTGGCCTACCACTCCCATGGACTGTGGCAGGCAGTGCCAGCCACACCAGAGGGGTGACCCTTTCCCCTCTGTCCCTTCAGGTCCCATGCCTGCACTGTCTTGAAGCTGGCAGAGGTGTCCCTGTCCCAGTTGCCCACTTGCCCATCGGCGTGGGTGGCAGTCACCTGCACGGGCTGCTATTTCCAGCAGTGCACAGCCCACTCCTTCCTGGGCTGGATTTTAACAAACTTAACTGTCCCTTAACTCTCCATTTCAAGGACATTCTTCAGCAAACCGGTTCCTAGGGCCTCCTCGATGTCCATGTTCTCTGGTTAGAGAGGAAATAACCCCATGAAACAGACTGTCCCATCTTGGGCTCCAACTTCCTTTCCCATTCGGGGATGCACCAGCTTCCTTGTGGCAGGAACTGAGCTTCCATGGGGTATCCCGAGAGAGCACTCCAGCCTCGGTCTCCAGGGACCTGCCACTGCAGGTACGATGATGAGTAACCCCGTCCATGAGGGACCTGCAGGATGATGGGGGGGGATGGCTGATAACCAGAGCAGCCACCTATATCCATAGAAGATAGATTACCTCCAGGAAGGGATCCCAGGGGGAGAAAGGGGATGGGGAAGCTGGCCTCTCTGGTCAGAGACGGCCTCCCTCAGAGAGCCCTAGCTGCCACACCCCCGTCCTTTCTCCTGTTTTTATAATGAACACCTGGCAAGAAGGCTTTTCCAACTCCAGGAGCTCCCGTGTTTCCTGGGAGCCGGTTTGGAAAGCGTGGATACCTGTCTAGGAATCCCTGGCTAGTGGCAAGGAGGGTACCAGACCTCCCCAAGGCAGCCCCCATCCTGCATGGTTCCAGGGGCATCATGGCCTCCTGCTCACAAGAGCCTCGTTTTGCAGATGAGAGATCAGAGGCTACAGAAAGTGGAAGAACCGCCAGCGGGGGTGTCAGAGCGGGCCTTGAGTGCATACGTGCCTGGCCCTGGGCCCTGCAGCCCACCCCAGTCTTCAGGAAGGCCAGAGGCAGGGCCTGGTGGTCCCTCCCTGGCCAGCTCCCACCAGTCTTTCAGAAGCCATTGGGCTCCCTCTTCACTGTCACCATCCGAGCAAAGGGCAGGACAAGCTCTCTGGGCCCTGTCCTGTCTGCGTCCCTATGCCCATTGCAGCCACACTAACCTTCTACCTTGCTCAGAACAAAAGACCCCTCAAAGGAGGGAAAGCAGAGATACTGAGGTTCAGTACAAACAACACCCCCAGCCCTTCCTCCTTCCCGAGTTGGCCATGGCCCAGTCTCCTGCTGGCCTCTTTCTGCAGGACGGAGCCCCTTCCCAGTCTGAGCACACGTAGGCAGTTCCTGGTCCTTTGTGGCTCCACTCAGGACCTCTGGGCTTTCCTCACACACACCCCTCAGTGGGCCTGATGGGCCCTGCTGCTCCCCTGCAGTGCCTGCTGCACACGTCCCGCCAGCCCTGTCGGAAGTGCACACAGACCCGTGTGCCTGTGCGCCCTCACCTCTTGCAGAGCTCATCCTGCGGTTCTTTTCCAGGACTGTGGTTTCCTGCTCACCACGCTGGGGAGAGGCAGGGCTCTGGTCAGTGAGAGAGTCCCTGGCCCTGAGGTCTCCTCACCTAGGGACCAGAGCCGGATGCATGTCTGTTGAAGGATGCTCGGAATCCTGACAGCATGAGCAGGCTCGGTGCCAGGAGCTGGGTTAGGAGCTGCACTCTGCCTGACCCACCCTGGCCGACACAGAGCCAGTTTGTGCACGGTCACCGTGTGACCTCGGGCCAGCTTCTCACCTGCCCAGGCCTCAGTGTGCACAGCGACGAAAGGACCCCCTGTGCAAGACCTCCTGTGGTGTGCAGGCCCCATTCCAGGCACTAGGGATAAGCCATCCGAGAGACAGGCAAGTGCCGATCAGCAGGCACCCAGGACCTGGCAGTTACAACACAAGGGATGACGCCTCCCAGATGCCCTCCTTACCTTCTCCCCTCTCCACAGGGCCCACGGACCTCAGCATGAAAGGCGGGGCCTCCACCACCTCCACCACACCCACGCCCACGCCCTCCAGCAACAGCACCAGCAGGACCATGCCCACCGCCCAGCTCAGCCCCACGGAGATCAGTGCCGTGCGGCAGCTCATCGCCGGCTACCGGGAGTCTGCTGCCTTCCTGCTGCGCTCCGCAGATGAACTGGAAAACCTCATTTTACAGCAGAACTGACCCCACCGCACCTGGAGTGCACTACCCCAGGGAAGAGGCTGTCCCGGCCCAGACCCGGCCTCCTGCCTCACCAGTTGGTACATTTTGTTTTATGAAAGAGGTGGGATCCAAAAGAGCTGTTTCTAGCCACACTCCAAGCACCTAAGACTTTTGGGCACAAGGACACTTTTTTTTTTTTTTTTTTGGAATCTCACCACACGGGTGCTCTGACCTGCTTGGAAGAGGCCAATGGGGCAGCTCTGCAAGGGTTGGGGCTCCCCCAACAAGGCGCTGGGGCTGCAGCTCTATTTAGAATCACCTTCGTGGACCCTGATGTTAGAATCCCACCCCCAGATAATTACCTTTCAAGTCTTAGGTGAGCAGAATTGCATATTTATTGAGAAAAACAAAGTGGACCCTTTCTTCCTCTCCCCTTAGTAATTTATTTTTCTGAAAATGGATTCTTTTGTGTTTGTACAGATTGCCAGTCTGTGTCTGTCTGATCAGAAGGATGTGTCCCCGTACCTAACATTCCATATCACTACACTGACACGGGCCGGGGGCTGGCGGGGGTGGGCCGGGGGCTCAATGCACCCTGGGGAAGGCCACCACCCTCAGCCAGGCCATCCTGTTGCAGGTCCCAGTGCTGCCACAGGGACACTGCCAGGCACCTCCACAGGGACCACCGAGCGGGAGGATCTCATCCACACCTACTGCAAAGCAAAACAAAAAAAAGGCACCCCCACCCCAGTCTACAGAAGTCCCAGTCACATGGTCACCTGTATTCTACCTCACACTCCAGCGTGGGCTTTTTCCAGGATGTGCCCTGAGCCTGTTTCTGAACGGCTGTCACCCCAACTCCCCCCCCAACAGTGTCTGCCTGGGAGGTAAGTCCAGACTGGGTGTCCAGAAGCTGGACCCCAGAGAGGGTCTGTCCCTCATAACCAGCAGCTTGCAGTGCCCTGGCCCTCCAGCTGCCTGACAGGACAGAGTGCTGGGAGGTGGCAGCCAGGCCACAGGGCCCTTGCCCTCAATCTGCTGCCGGGGCCATGTCTGAGCATCAGTGCATAGTCTGGGGCCTCAGACAGGTACCGAGAAGGGCTGGTTCTTCGGAGGGAGCCCCAGCTGTCAGGCAGCTATGAGCGCCATGGCCAATTGAGCTCCCATCCCCTCGCCCGTGGTTGGAGTAAGGGATCAGTGGAAGTGGAGAAGCCACTTGGGTTCTCCTAGGACCAGCCCTCCTCCTGGAAGGGTCAGTCCTGGAAGAAACCCATAATCCCTGGAGTGTGAAAAAGGGCAAAAGGAGAAAGCTGGCCTGGTTCCTTCCTCCCTGATAGGCACTTCCTCTTGCTCAGTGCAATACCTACCAGTGCTGCTAAAACCAGGGACTCGCCCAGACCTCAGCAGGCCCCCGGGGCCTCTCCATGCAACACTCCGTAGCCATGACGGCAGCTCTCTGCTGCACGCCCCTGCCCAGAGCTGGCAGAAGCCCTCTGTTGCCTTTCCTCCCTCAGAGCAAAGAGGCCCAGGGGAGCCAGGGCTGAGTGGACCCCAGGATGGCCACAAAAACCACCCCTCCCCGAGCCAGCTTTCCTGCAGCCAACTGCCTGTGACTGCCCTTAGGAGGGGCAGGCTGGGGCGCCAGTGTAGATGCCCTGTTCTGCCTCGGAGCCGCAGATGCTGGAGAAAGGAAAGCGTCCCTCCCGTGCTTACTCCCAGCCCTGGAGGTTGGGAGTGGTCGTCTTTTTCTCGAGTGGCCTCCAACACCCCACCTCTGCCTTCCATCTGACCGATTCCCAGGCCTCTGGTCAGGGCCAGGACATCCGAGACTCCCCCTTCAGCATAGCACAAACTCCAGTGCCCAAGGCCTCCCGCACCCCAGCTGTCCACGCGGCCAGTCCCTACATGCGCAGTACTACGAACGTTGGAATTTGTGTAAATATTTGTGTGTGAACAATGACGAAGTAATCAGATCTTTGACAAAATCTTACCCCAGGCAATTTGTGAAAATGTTGAAAACTGGCAGAGACAATCGTGGCCCTAGAATTCCTGATATCAATCGTTTAACATGGCATTTTCCCTCCCAGAGGCAGAATCCGAGCTAGACACAAGGGAGTGCATTCCTTGGCAGGCAAGAGCGAGCCCCTGGGGCAGGGGCTCTCCCAACGCTCAGATCCTTCCTTAGCCCTGAAGCTCAGCACCAGCCCGGTCAGCTGTTCTGGGCCAGGCTCACGCTGTGGCGGCTGACCGCTCGGCCTGCCTTAGCACTGCGGGCAGAGCATCAGTTTGAGGAGTTTTCTAGACAAAGGAAAGAAACACCAGTGGTAAAAGGTGCCTCTCGGGGGGCTCCTTCCCAGTGAAGTGGCACCTGAAGCCCCGAAGGCAACAGGATGGGAAGTTACTGCGTGGAAACAGTCTTCCACCAGCTAGTTCAGTCAGGGAGCCTGTCCTATTTAACTTTTGTTTTTAAAGATGTAGCTTCAGCCCCTTCCCCCTTCTCCTTCCTGTCTTGGAGAGCAAAGGGCTGGTTCGGATGAGCTGGGCTCACCGCTGTCCCACTCTTACCTGAGGGGACTGCCTTCTCCCAAAGGGAGCTTCCAATGCCCTGCCCCACAGCCATGTACTAACCTTCCGGAGAATCTATGGGCGCAAAGGAATCATTTGGGACACCAAATTAAAAACAGAATAAAAGAGTAGGAGCCACCAATTCAAGTCTGTGCAGGGGCAAAGCCCACGAGCAGGGTAGAGTCACAGAAGTGGGCATTTGGTCTTTGGGGTGGGCCATCTGGTAGACCACGGGGAGTGCATGCAGCCCACGGGAGAGCCCTATTACCATCACCACTTGTACAAACAGAGCTTATTCCCCAGGACAGTGTTGAGGGGGAGGGGCACAGGTGGGGTCAGGAGGGTTTTGGAGGATCTCAGCCAGGTGGAACCCATCCATCTCTATCCCCAAGGGCCACTTACAACTCCAGGGGTGGTTATAGGATTAACTACCAGTTCATTTTCAAAATGCTGCTTTGAACTCAGAGGGTTGATACTTTTAATTTGTAATTTTTTGTAAAACTTTTTACAAGATAGTAAAGTATTTCACCAGAATACCCGTTTCAATCCGTCCATGGTCTGATTTTTATATAATTTAGTGGTGCTTTAGAAACTTTGTTTTTGTTGTTTCTGAGCTAAATATAGCTCAATCCTTTTTCGCCTGTATCTACCTAAGACCAATGTGAACCTTTGTATTTTTGCTCCTAATTTTGGACTCAGTGAAAGTGTACTGTTTACATGTACAGATGCCCCCTGTCCCTGTGTGTTCTGCAAGACTCGCTCTTGAGGAGGAAGATGCACCTCACTAAGCTCATCTGCTTAGCAAAGCCACAAAACAAAAACCTCTCACTTTTTATCTATGTTTCCACCTAAAAATAGAAACAACAAAAAAAAACCCCATCCGTATCATATAGAACTCAGTTTTGCTGAAAAACTCCCTGCCTGATAGATGGCCCCTGTGCCTCTATCACGTGGTCCATTAGGAGCAGGAGTAAGAACAGACTTCCCACTGGCCACTGGTGGGTGACTGCAGGGGCAGATGAGAAAGTGGAGCAGCACCCTGCCAGAGCTGTGGGATGATGCAGTTCTCCCGCCAGCCTGGGGGTGGGAAGGTCAAGATGACCTTGTGGCTTTCAGGATTTAGGGACAACTCCAGACGTTGTCGATCCTCTGGCATAATTGAGACATGTTTTTGGAAGAGCATGAGCTCCTTATCTGAGATGTTAGGACTCAGCACAGGTGTGGATTGAGGAGTCCTCCAGGATTCCTCTGGGGACAGCTGGTTTGAGAGGCGCCACCTCTGGGGAGGGCAAGCATATGGCACTTAAGGCAAACTGGATGGCACCAACTTTTCAAGGTGACTCTTTATTAATCAGTGGCTTCACCTCTAAATTATATTTTTACAGATATGCACCTATGCAACTTAATGTGGCTCTTCTACGCAGGTGAGGACTTCCTCCTCAATGCTCTCTATAAAAATTATTTGTGTTCTATATAGTGAGTTTTTCCTGTAAATGTGGCTTAATATTTTAATTCTTAGAATGTGTCTTCTCTACGTGATGCGACTAAATTCTGTTTTGTTTGTGGAATGACTAGCACAGGCCGACTCCCTCTCCCTCACTTAACAGAAGACCAACGAGCTGTTAATCGAGCTGTTATCTCCATGGTATTACTTGCTAAATGCACTGATTTCATAAGTACGTGGAATCCCTTTCCTTTGGAATCTGTATATCATATATAAGACTGAATCTACTTAATAAACACTGAACGACAAACTGCACACGTGGGTCCCACTGTGTCCTCTCAGCGGCAGCACTGCCGGCCAGTCTCGTCCTTCCGGGTCTGTGGTTCCCGTCACCTTCCTACTGGCAGACTGCACCTTTCTCTGGCCAGCACTCTGGGGCGCAGAGGGTCCTCCGTAAGTTCTCTGGAACAAATCAGCCTGTGGCTTCAGCACCTCGCCCATCAGAAAGGAGGGACACCAGCCTTCCCTGGGTGCCGGTCAGGTGCCAAGCACAGGCGGAGAAGAGCTCCCCATGCACCTATTTCGATCTTGGTGCCTGTCCTCACCTGGCAGGAGAATAAGCAGAGGTGCGTGGGGTATATGCCTTGCCTGCATCCAGTGAGCAGCCACGCAAGGACTTACAGCTGCCGGAGGGCCAAACGCGTGCCCCGTTACCTCACCCTAGCGTGTGGCTGTGGCCAACAGACTGAAAGCAAATTGTAAGGAGCCCTTGGTGGCTAGTTTGGGAACCTGAACAACCCTGACCCTTGGTTCTGAACCTACAGTACATGCCATAATCCACGCAAACTCCTGAATCCCACCTTGAAGGAAATAAGAGGGCCATTTTCCCAAAAGACGCTCAACTGTGAACAGATTTTTTTTTTCATTTTATCATTTTTTGATTTAGTTAAGCTTTACAGAAAATTTACAAGAATGTGGCTGGGAACAACCTGATTATAAGTGTAAAAACAATTTTGTGTGTTAAAATTGTGTGTATGCATACACCTATATGGCAGTTGTCATTAAAACTTTTTATGGGACCGGCAAGTGGTGTAGTGGTTAAAGGCGCTGGACACCCACATGGTTGACCATGGTTCAAGTCTTGGACCTGGTGGCTTGCTTTCTCACTTCCTCTCTCTCTCTCTCTCTCTCTCTCTCTGATCAAACTGGAAAATAATGATGATAATAATACTAAAGTTAAATAAAATAATTATAAAAAAAACTTTTTATATGGGGGGGCTGGCACGTGGAATGGTGATTAAAGGTGCTGGACTCCCACATGGCCAACCACGGTTCAAGTCCTGGACTTGGCGACTTGCTTTCTCACTTTCCTGTCTGTCTCTCATTCTGTCCCTCTCTGGTCAAATTGAAATAAATAAAATAGAATTAAAACAATTCTTAAAAAAAAACTTTTTATACAGTGACATAAGAATCCCTTTTTTAAACAGAAATGCTATAGTCAAATACATGAAACAGACCGAAGGGGAGGAAGCCAGTGGTGTGGGAGCCGCCACAGGGTAGGCGCAGCACAGTGGGGCTGAGAGCCTCTGCAGACAGGATCAGCTCTGGGTATGGCGGATGTACCTGAACACATTGCCCTCTCCGGGGATGCGGGGCTCCAGGGGCAACACACTTCCTCAGGAAGAGAATTAAAATTCCTCATTCTATGGAAACTACCACTGCCGAGACTCACCAAAAGAATACTAAAACCCTAACTCAGAAGAGCAACTCCAAAACACAGTCTCACTTAAGAGACCTGCTGGCCTGCAGGTTGGCCCACAAAATATTTACCTTTAACAAGAAACGTCGCAGCTCCACCGGATCCCTGGGACTCTGCACTGGGAATCCGGGGACAAACTACTTGAGGGCCAGGAAAGCGCTGGCTTATCCCAGTCTGGTTTTTTTTTTGGGGGGGGAGGTAACTTGCTAGATGGTGTGTGCACTCACTGGAGAGACAGAGAATGTGAGAAAGCACCCCCGTGGGGGATGGCTACACCACAACCCTTTCTCCTCCATTCTTGGGATTTGGGGCACACACACATACACACACGCACCTGATTATTTTTAATTACCCTGCCTTTTTAAAGATATTTATTTATTTAAGTTTATTACCGTTATTATTCTTTAATTTGACCAGAGAGAGACACACACAGAAGAGAGGGAAGGAGAAAGGAAAAATGAGAGAAGTTACCAGGTCCGGGACCCAAACTGCAGTTGGCCCAGTGGGATCCAGCTGCCTTAACCACAATGCCAGCGGCCTGCCCCTGCTCTGGTTTCTTTAAATGGGGTTCCAAGCCACTGTAGATAGTGGACACAGAACATCATCAAATGGGAATGTCGCATGAGTGAAGTAAAATAGTCAATGACAAACAGGCAACTTCCCTCACTCACTGAGGGGAAGGGAGAACACGTGCTGGCTTGCCCTTTTCCCCAATGGCCAGATACAAAGCAACCCCCAGTGGGGTGTGGCCACACCACAGTTCCTTCATTTCTCCAGCATTTGGGATTTGGGGTGTGCAAGCACGTGTGCCTGGTGGTTTTTTTTTTTTTTTTTTTTTTTTTTCTAGAGGATGCTGTGAGAGGGAGGGAGAAGAGAAAGCAGCCCCTATGGGGAATGATCAAGCCAAAATCTCTCCTCCATTTCTGCCTCCTTTAAGGATTAGACATGCAGGCACATGCACCCAGTGTTTCTCAAGATGCTGGGTCGGAGACTCAAACCATGGAGTTGACCACGTGGGATCCAGCTGCATCAGCCACCAGGCCACAGAGCTGGCCCCCAGTGTATTTTTTCAGGCTGCCAAGGCCAGGATTCCAAGTGTAGTTGGCCATGTGGGATCCGATTCCAATGCACAGCGTTTAACCACTGTGCTATGGGTCTAGTCCTATGCTGCACCCTCCCCCCCCCTTTTTTTTTCCAGAAAGATTTTTGCAGTAGGATGCACGCAATTGCTAGAGAAAGAGACAGAAAGTGAGAAATCATCCCCTAGGGGTTATGGCTACACCACAAACCCTTCTCCATTCTCTTGGGATTTGGGGCACACATGCACACACATGCACCTGGCCTGTTTTAAGCCACTGTGACTGGGACTCGAACCGTGGTTGACTACATGGGAGTCCAGCAACATAATCATTACACCATCTGCTGGTCCCCTATGTTGCCTCTTTTTTTTGGGGGGGGGTAAGTTTTTGCTATAGGGCATGGGCGCTTGCCAGACAGAGACAGAGATAGAAAGTGAGAAATCACCCCCTAGGGGGGATGGCCACGCTGCAATCCCTTCTCCTCCATTCTCCTCTCGGGATCCTGGGCACACATGCACACGCGCCCAGCGTGACACTAGGGAACCTTAGTTACAGAAAACCTAAGAAGAATCACTGCAAAGTTCTATCTCCCATCAATCTGTATAAATCCAGATTTTCTTCAGTTTACCATCAGCCAGGGGTTCGTAAATGAAGGGCCCCATTCACCTAAGGAGCTCACCAACCCTCTGAAGTAGTATGCAAAACTGTGCCAGGTACATTCCTGAGCAAGAGACCCACTGAGCAAGGTGAAGCAGCACTGGTAACTGGGGTTCTCACGGAGCACTTGTCTGCGTCCAGTAGTGAAGACGTGCTCATAGCAAACTTTCAAACTGATGCAGAGACAAGAGGGAGCACAGGGTACTATCCAATTTTGGTTTCAAGTAACCATCTCCAAGGTCACAAATCTCACCCTTCCCATAGCTTCCCGCACACAGGGCAGCACGGCCTGGGCCCCACCCCTCAGGGCAGCGGAGAGGCAGGTAAGTCTTGGCCCTTGATAGCACATGCACACACCACACACATTCTTCTCTCAAGCCGGGTCTTACTTCCACAAGAACAGTTGAGATACTGGGGCCAGCAGGTGGCATGGTGATTAAGGTGCTGGATTCCCACATGGCTAACCCCGGTCCGAGTCCTGGACCAGGAGGTTGAAAATCACAACAAAGACACATGCATAAATAAATAAATATTTTTTAAAAATGCAACAGTTGGTATCAAATCAATGCTACCTCACCAGACCAGTAAAATGACATTCGTTCCACATTCTTAAACATCAGGCTTCCGTGTCCTTTGGACCATGAGTAAAATAAGCCTCCCTTACCAAAGACTCCGTCTCTAAACTCAGGACAGCACGCAGCAGCCGCAGCACGAGGTTAAAAGCCAGACGTTGCCTGTACAGACCGCACCAGCCCTCAGCAGAGTATGCCCAAGGCCTGCATCTTAGCAGCTCTTACCAGAGGGCAAGGGTGAGGCCAGTGGCAGCAGCTGTAATGTTCCTACTGTAAGGTCATGTAACTCTTATTGCCTGAGCCTGGCACACCCTAATAGTCACTATTTCCTAGGGGGTAGGCACCAACAGCCTGATGCAGTAGAACTATTAGCCCAGAGGTGGGCACGTTGGCAGAGGTTAAGAGCAATGCCCAAGCCCCCCAGCTGGCATGTAGCAGAGCCTGTCCTTTGCCCCATGTGCTAGTCTATCTCCCTGGATGCTGCTGGCAGGGTAAGGTCCCAGTCCCAGGCTCTACTGTATCCCGGCCCCTGGAGACATACATGGGCAAACGGACTGTGAAGGCACAGGTGCACAGCGCCGGGCAGGTTTTGCCCATTACCACAGCCACCTAACCACGTACTACAGTACTCCAGGGAAGGCTGAGGACTTGTAACCAAGAAGTCAGGCCCCACGGCATGTCGTCCGCCTTGGCTCGCTCAACTAGCACCAGACTTCACCTTGTGCCAGCGCCTCCTGTCTCTCTGCTGTCTGACACCATGCAAAGAGGTGCCTGCACTACTGCTTTCAAGGTCAGAACAGGTCACCCTCCCAGAGATCACCCACCATTATAAATCCACATGGTAAGGGCTGGCAGGTGGCACGGTGGTTAAGGTGCTGGACTCCCAGTCCTGGACCTGGTGACTTTCTTTCTCGCTTTCCTTCTCCCTTCCCTGTCTGATCAAATTTTAAAAAATAATAATAAATAAAAGTAAATAATTGTTGGGGCTAGCAAGTGGCATAGTGGTTAAGGTGTTGCATTCCCACATAGCTGACTGCGGTTCAAGTCCCAGACCCAGTGGCTTGAAATTCATGCAGGGGGGACCAGCAGCTAGCGTAATGGCTATGTCACTAGAATCCCATGTAGTCGACCACGGTTCGTGTCCTGGACCCGGTGGCTTAAAACGCACGTCAGGCGTGTGTGTGTGTATGCCCAAGATCCCAAGAGGAGAATGGATTGTGGCATGGCCATCCCCTCTGGGGGGTGATTTCTCGCTTTCTGTCTCTGTCTTCCGAGAGCACGCGCCCTATAGCAAAAACGTCTCAAAAAAAAAAAAAAATTCACACAGGGCATGTGTGCATGAGTACCAAAATCTTAAGAGGATAATGGAGGAGAAGGGATTGCGGCCTGGCTATCTCCCCGAGGATGATTTCTGTTTCTTGCTTCCTGTTGCTGTGTCTCCAGCAGGCACACAGACCCTGTAAAAGCCAAAACATCTCTAAAAAATAATTCTTTAAAAAATAATAAAAGAGGAACCAGCAGTTAGCATAATGGCTATGTTGCTGGACTCCCATGTAGCCGACTGTGGTTTGAGTCCCGGACCCGGTGGCT